ACACGTCTTTTTCTTTTTTACAAGGTTGCACTTTACAGTCAAACCAGCGGGCAGAAGTCCCGACACCCACATAAAAGATGTGATGACACCCTGCATTCTCTCAGCAAATGAATCAGCTGCCGTCACAGAGCCCAGAATGAGGAAGCTGTTTTTTTACTTCTTTCTTAATGAATGTCTACGTGTGTACAGTATATATATATCTATATCTATATCTATGAGTGTGTGTTAACTTGCTTGTTTGCTCCCATGCAAGTATTTCCGTTCACCATTCACCTTGTGCAATTTGAAATGGTCTCAGTTTCACAAGAATGATTCAATAGCATGTCATGTTGCATTCAAACACCAGTCACCTCCATGTCATCACCATTTCCCATCATGCTCATCAGAGGCCAAAACACATGGATAAACTTTTACCTAGAAGCAACAATTTCTTTTAATTGTCATCTTCCAAGAAACCAAATTACGATGAGTGAAATTTTTATTACAGCGTTTTTGACATGAAGCTCAGCTGCAGCCTGACGTGGTACATTGTGGTGCATACACATACATACACACAGAGAAAGTTATCAGGTTTTTCTGTAAGACATCAAAAATCATCTTAGATCCAGAAGAGTGTCGGCCTTATTCAAATCCTTCAGTACGCACATGCAAATCACTCAGACATACAGGAGAAGAAAGTGTATAGGAACAGACAGTTCCCTTTGTGACAGGCTTCATGTCTTAGGCCAGTCATGTTAAAAACTCAACACAAAAAGGTTATTTAGGATAATATCTTCTACTGTACATCATCGTGTTTTCTTTGCAACAAATCTTTCAAAAAACAAATTAAAATTTGATGGGCTCTCATGTTTGTGATCTTTGCCTCTGGCCTGAGAATAAAGACCAAACACAGCAAGTACAAATGACTACAATTACATGTGGCAACCAAGAGCAGAATTTCTTTTCTTGAAATGGATATGCAAAAACACTTTGAAGTTGTGTGACGGTTTCAGTCTGTCAAAGTATACGTGTGGTGTGTGGCTTTTTTTTTTTCTTTCTTTCTTTTTTTGGTATTCAAATGGTGGATTTCCTGTGCAGTCACTCAGCAGTGAGACTTTTACCATATAGGGATGCAGCTGAGAGGAGGGGTGGTGGGCAGAGGGAAGAGAAAAGAAGAACTAACGAGACTCACTTCTCAAGTCTCAACTTGTTGGCAGCTGATTCATTATAGTGGAGTGAACACAGTGACTGCCAGAGATACTGATAAAGCCAAGTCTCCTTGTTTTTATTGGAACGTGTGCGTATACACAGTCATATATCAGTGAACCATGTGTGGTGCCTGGTTCTGTCTGTACCTGCTGGAAACACCAAAGAAGTGAAAGAAAGTGACGAAGAGAGAATGAAAAGAGACAGAGACACTCTGATTCCACCTATAGGTTTTACAGCTGTTAACACAGTCACTTTGCAAACATTGTAAACATGTAAATAAGTGAGACTAACTAACTTCTAAAAGAAATAACACACTCTTCCTCAGACAAATGAAAAGTTGACTTCACTTGGTCTGGTATGACTGTTGGCTGATGTCAGCTGATGCTAGCAAACTTTGGATAAATATTGATAAGTGACATTATTTATTTAGCTGACTGTGAATCCTCTAGTTTTGCTAATGTTGAATCAGCATTTACCATTAACATGTAACTATGGTCTTGGGCTGCATTCATTTAACCCAGTTCATCTTTTGTCGCAAAGCAATGTAACATCATCTAGTAAGGTGTTGCACTGGCCGGACAGATACATTCCTGGTAGATTACTTTGTAATGTGAACCCTGTATTGAAAGTTCAATGAGGAAGTTCCTCCTTTCTCCCTCAATGGGTTAGTTTCTGCTATTTCTTCTAGTTCTCATTTTCTCCATCACTTGTGAACGTGAATAAATAGTGTTATACACTGAATATCTTTCCATATTGAGCTGTTTACCAGGTGAGTGTAACAGTCCAACAAAAGATAAGAATATTTCACTTTTCACTGTGAATCCTGTCTCATAGTCCTCCAAACTGCTGTGTAGTATTTCGATGAGCATGGGAACTGGGAACTAGAAGCCACAGCATCTGAACTGTGAATTTCTGTTCTGTTCTTTTACTTTTACTTCACTCTATCACTTGCAGATACAACTCACACCTTGTTTCAAGTTGTTCCAATGGAACAAAAACATGTCTGCTGCATTGAGCAGATTTTGTTTGAGTAAATTATATGTTTTTAATCAAACCAAGAACAAACATGTTGCATGTTGTATTATACTTAGTAATTATGCAAAAATAATTATTCAAATTTGTTTTGTGCCCTTTCAAAAATAGTGCCTATGCACCCAAGAGTGCTTTTTCAGTTTGTGGTTTCATTATATAACAAGAGAAACCTCTGTTAGAATTCAGCAAAAAATATTAAACACTGAACTTTGCACATCCTGCATTAGGCTGAACTCTTACAGACTGTTGGAATGAAATGCTTCAGTGTCTGCTGTACTCTTCAGATGTGTAGAGCTGGAGAGCTGGAGACTGAAAGTGCAATTAGCCTATGTTGCTAAGCTACACAGTATGTTCTGCAGATACGTATCAACATCATACATACAGCCAGAAGAGGGCTAAACTTTCTAATGTTGGTGTATTCAGCATTAATAAAAAAGAATACACTTGGCTTAGTGTATGTAGGATGTAGACTAGCACTTCCTTTTGGTAGGGGGTTAAAAAAAACTAGCAATCTAGCTGCTGTCCCTTGCTGCTAGCTTCAAAGGGGACATGGTCCACTTCATTTATTCATTCAGAGTTGTGACCCAGTTATCAACTTTGAGACTTGTACTTTCACAGTCACTGCACTCCAGAAGCTCTTGGTTCAAAACTGATTTTCTAGCTTTGTGGTTCATCTTATGCTGCAAACACTGATTCATCACTGGTTCCTGTTTACCACAGTGGGCAGATGGTTGCACGTCACCTTCACATTCAGCTGTGCTGATGTGGGTGCATCCACTGTCTTATAAGGCTTCATTACAATGCAACACACCCAGCTCAGTGCACTCACATAGCAAATCTCATGCCCTTAAAAGGAGTTTTTTCAACTGCCTGCTGTTTCTGCAAAGGGCTCTATCTCTCTTTGGTTGCTCCGGTGCACACTCTACTGGTGAAATGTAGGACAGGTCTATGTCAGTGTAACAAGCTTTTGTGTAGGCTTACACATAGTCTGTGTGTATAATTGGTGTCCTTGCATGTGAGGTCAACAAAAGATAAAATTAGGTGAGAAAAATGAACATTAGAACATCAGTCTGCTGGATGTACTATTTATTTTCTGGAAAACTATATGAAAATGTTGTTGACTAAAAGATGGAGAGTCAATTCTTGCTTTGAAAAATAATGTACTGTGTTTAATGAGATAATTCCCTCCCTTTTTTAAATGTTATTTTAACAGCTCAACACAGCACTTGTACTTTAGTAAGATATTGGTAACAAAATTTCTCTTACCTTTAACTAATCATTTCGAGACCGATCCATTCTGAACTGAGCCATGTACATAAGCATTTCATTTCTATGACCACGTCAACTCTAGTTTAATAGTGTGGATACTGAGTTTGTATGTCTTTCTAAAGATGGACCACCATCTTTACTGCACTTTGTGGTTTAATACTATGTAAAACAGAAATATACAAACACTATTGATTTTTAATTAGTGGACTTTTACAAACTGTTGTGTCTTTTAGCTAGATCTGGATGTTACTGAGGCTCGTGCTCTGAGCATTTGTTTAGGGGCAGTGATAATGGCACCAGTCTGTGGTCCTCAAGTTGAGGCAGGAGAAATGTCTCTGTGGTTCAGTAAGAAACGGCTGATGGCCTACTGCTGGATAAATCCATGGTCTTTGTGACCTGTTAGGAGAGGTGGAAAGTACAAAAACAGGTTTTGGATGGGTAGGTAAAGACATCCCAGAATGTTCATGAAATTGAATTTTGTCCTGAACAGTGTTCTGGCCTGTGAGACCAGACTGGATGCTGCTATATGCTTGTGTGGATATTAAGCAGAGAAATGAAACAGCAGATCTGGTTCAGGAATATCACATAGGGACAGAAATTACAATGATTATACAGCTATTTACAGACGGGTCAAAGGATCCACTAACAGAGGAAACAGGTGCAGCAGTGATGATTCCCAGTTACCAGACTGGGGTCGGTGGGAGAACATCAGATTATCAGAGTGAGAGCTTTCAAGCTGTTTGCAGCTCCGTTAGCATCAGAGTGAACATGTGAAGATGTGATAGCAGTAAAAAAAAAAACTCATCTGTAGTGACAGAACTGTCAACCATTAAAACAGGATCAGCCAGAAATCACCAGACCTAGTATATGAACTACATCAGAGGAACTACATCACGTTCATGTGGGTACCAGCACACTGAGGAATCCTGGGAAATGAGAAAGCAGACAAGTTAGTGAAGGAGGCAGGTTTAAATTCAGAGGAAAAAACTTTGTTTGGAGGGAAATAATCTGTGGCAAAAAGTATGGGGATAGTGTGACACAAAGTAGGAAGGGTCACAGAGCAGGGGAACCAACAGAAAGGGGAAAATAATTATGAGCAGATTAAGAACTGGTCACAGCAACTTGAACAGTACAATTTTTATCATAGGAAAACATCCAACTGGTCATTGTAATCAGTGTCAGGAAAAAGAGACAGAGGAACACGTCCTGATTTCATGCAGGAAATATGAAGAGGAAAGAAGAGCAATGGTTACAGGACTACAGAGACCAGGGTAGGTGGAGGCCAGGATTAAAGATGGTGGAGGGAGACAATGGATATTTAGGTTTTTGAAAGACTAATTACAAGAATGTAGTGGGCGATTAAAACCAAAAGGAGGCAGTAATCCAATTTAATGGATGCCAGCTGTCGTCCCATAGAGGAAGAAGAAGCCTCTCGACATTATGGACCAGCAGGTGAAGATTCAGCTCATTTCATTGGCTGCCATCAGCGTCACGTTATTAACACCCGGAAGTTTACATGGTGCTGTCACTAAAAGCAGGATGGAGAGCTTAGCTGCTGTGCTTTAAACAGGTTAGCGGCATACAGACAAATTGTGTGTTAATGTTGAAGTTGCCTGGCTTTGACAACATCATACATGTAATATTTATTACACCCAGTGTGTTTCATATACAGCCAGTTCCGTAAGGGATACAAAAGTACTAGCTAGCTAGTGCTAGCTAGCGTTAGCTACTCATACAAGGTCCAAGATGAAAAGCTACATTTTCGAACGTTGTAGACAGCTAGCTGCACTATTAAATACGTCTTTTACATGCTTCGTTGGTTATTAGCAAACGTCTACATCGCTCTGAACATGACTAAAGATTTTTATGCAACACTTTAAACATATAATAATTAACACATTAAATTTAACATTTCATATTATTCTGTTCTGTGTTAAGTTACCGCTGCATATTTTGGCCATGGAAGACACCGAAGCTGTTACTTACTGCAGTGGAATTCAGATGTTTTATGACAAGATCAACCCACGATTTTGTATAAATCTAAGTTGTCTGTAGTGCTTCGTTCTAAGGGGTTACATGCCAAAGAGGATTGAGAGCTTATGCCCTGGACGCTGAATAATGTATCAGTTCAATAAGGACGATAGCAGCCATGATGATTTTGCTGGGATGTAGTGACATTTTGACAGCTGTAATCACTAAATTCATTTGCAAATAATATGATAGGAACATGTCAAACTTGTATCAACTTACAAAGTCAGTTATAAATTGACTGTCAAACTCCAAAACAGATTCATGATATCATCTATTATAAGGAAAAAAACTATTATTTGTACAAATGCAATACATGAATATGCTGTCTGAAATAGATATAGCACAGTATGTATTCTGGTTTGGTCTCTGTATGTCAATAAATTGACACTGGTGTGTGTGTGTTCTGCCATTCTTTGTGTCGGACTGTAGAGCATTATGGGTAACACTGAGAGCGTGGTGGTGCAGAAGCGGCTGGCTCGCTTCCGCCCTGATGAACGGCCTGTGGTTGAGGGGGTCTTCAACAGGCTCCAGGGTGGTGCCGGGGGCCCTTCAGGAGCCCCAGGGAAGACTCTGACTCTTGAAATGCTGCAGGTATGACTCTAAAATCAGTCTGTATTATTAGTGAATACTGCTGTCATTCCAACAGTTTAGTATAAACAAAAATGTCAGTGTATGGTTAAAACTCAATGCATTAACAAATTAAACTATTCTCTGGATAAAACAAGATATACTGATTTATAAGACAGACTTTCCAGTTTTTATAATGTCTGATGTTTTTTAAATGATAAATTTAAAGTCCAGGAGGGAAATGTCATAAATGCAGTTGTCTTATTTAGTGTAATATATATACAGATATACATATTTGGACCTTATATCAATTTACATTTATTTTTTAGTTATTATTCTCTGTAATTTATTGGTGTTTTACACTCCTATAGAAATAGGCTTTGTTTCTTTCACTCTGACTACATTTTATACTCTCGCTCCACTGAGGACATGTCATTACTATTGAAAATATTCTATCAGTACATGTGTCAGGGGAAAGGTAACTTTTGTCAGTTTGTATAATCAACCCCTCCTATTGTCTTTGCCAGTCCTCAATGGGCAGCCTGGCACCAGACTCCATGATAAAGAGGGTCTACCAGTGCATGTGTAGTATTGACCCTGGGCTGGCAGCGCATGCAGCCTCTGGGAAGACCAACACCTCTGCTGTCTCTGGAGCGGGTCGGGAGCAGTTGGTTATCTTCCTAGCAGACACCCTGCGAGGCACTGCAGAGGAACGGGCTCCTCTCATCATGGCCATGTCCCAGCATGGAGCAGGGACAGCAACAGTTGTCTCAAGTGAACAGGTAGTGGAGGTGAGTAAACTTAAACTTAAATGTAGATTTAAATAGGAAATCATTTTAATGGTGTTTTTCTTCTTCTTTTCTTTGTTTACTTCTCTCTCTGCTGCCTCCATCCTTCCGGACTGACGCCCTACTTGGGCCCTTTTTCTTTTCTCAATAGTTCCTACAGGACCTAATCTCTACTGTAGTTCAGATTCTGGTCCACAGAGGGCGCCTGCAGGGCTGGAAGCCAGAGAGAATGGGTGATGGCTCCCTCGGTGTCAAGCTCCTGGCTGAGCAGATGTGTTCTGAACTCAAACCTTTGGGTAAGCAGGTGACTTGAAGTTTTTTGAACATATTAACAGTACAGAAATATGACTGCTGACGGACGTGTCACTCCTCAGATCAGGGAGGTTGTGATGTTTCCTGTCTGGAGGACTGGATCTTCAGGGTCTCCCAGGTATCTTTGTACCTGGAGATGCTGGTAACCGAAGGCTTAAATGTGTCCCTGAGTGGCCGACCGGCCCCGACCCTGCTGCCCCCCTGCAGGGAGACACCCTGGAAACAGCTAAAGTGTCTGCTGGACCTTCCCACCCTCATGTTTCTGGCACCACAGGTCAGAATACAAATGTATACAGTGTCATGTGAGTGGATTCTGACCAAAATTTGTTTACTAGTTGAGTAATTCTTTGAGTAAGTTCCAGGCCTTGAACTTACCAGACAGATCAGAATTATCTGTCTTCTCAGCCATTCTGTGAGCTGATTCAGGATCACCGTGGCCACCTTGTTGATAGTTCTGTTGTATACTCCCTCCCAAGGCTCCTGAGAGGTTGTTCTGTCAGGACTGAAATCCTTTCTTTTCCAACACAAAAGGATATTTTGTCAATTCTGTTCCCCTTTCAAAGTGAGAGGCTGCTGGATTTCAGTAGTTTTATCCTCTTCTTGCCCAGATCAGTGTTCCTCTAGCCATTTGAAGAGCCTGGATGTGCATGCTGCTGTTTGAAAATGGCTTGTTACATCATCTGCGTAGCAGTTTAGGGCTGGCAGCCACTGACGATACCATGTCTGCACGCCACGGGCCATTGTTCTTACATCAATTAGGAGGACTTTGAAGGCTACTGTAGGTGAGATGAAGCAACCTATCGCTAATCTTTTGCTCAATCGTTAAAGTGACACTCCACTAATACTGGTATGATGGTGGACAACAGTACATGCCAGGGGAACAGTGACTTACTATACTCATTGGCATTATATACAAGCATGAATTGATATTTTATATTATGAGAGGAGTGGCTGTAGGAGTGGTATAAGACAGTAAAACATAGGTAACGTGCAGTACGTCGTGATGTCACTGGCAAGAAGAACAGATATACTGTATACCAATAATGAACAGTAACATATCACATGTGCCACTAAAACAAGATGACCATCAGGCACTGCTGGATTTCTGCAAAGATCATCTGTGAACCTGTCTATTAGAGTTCTCTCAAACACGTTGGACAGGACACATGTTGTGCAGTCGTAGATAGATAAATAGAGTCATTTGTGCCTGATGTAGACTTGCCATCCTGTCATGTAATGATCATCATGTGAAGCAGGGCATCATATGCACTCAGTGGACATAGTGATCAAGCCATGATATTGTGGCTCAGGTTTCGCTTGATATGATCGGGTGCATCTATTTAGGCTTTGTTTGGTTTGTGTTTTGATTTGTTATATATTTGGTTTTGTTTGTCTTTAAAACCTACTGCTTTGGGATTGTTACCTGTAGATCTGTATATGTTTAAAGTAAAGTTTATTTATATAGCACTTTCCTATCTGCGTCAGAGTACATCACAATAAAAGAAAATATATTAATTGTATTTTCATTCTTTTTTTAAATAATTTATTAGTCCATTTAATCCATTTCATTTAGTCCATTATATTGTGCTGTAAAATGTTGGTGAGTACCCATACTCCATAATTTTAGTTTGTTGTTGATAAATCTATTTAAATTGTTACAAGGGATGGGTCATGTGAATGATTATTGATTCATACGTCTGTTTTACAGAATGACTCATACTTAAAGCTGTTAACAATCACAACTCATTCACATTCAGGACTGCGTTTGTGTACACACCATCTTCCTCACTCTTCTGTTAGTTTCCTTCCCGCTTGGCGGAAAAACTTACACCTTTATTCATTTTTATGAGATTCAGGTGTTGGAGTTCTCTGCTTTACTTCAACCTGTGTACCGTCCTAATCAGCCAGAACACCTGTAAACTGATACAGGGCTTTAAAATCTTAAACTTTAAATGTATTTATTGTATCACTGTTCATATTTACACACACTATCATTGTACTGCTTACTTACATCCTTCCCCAACTCTCTATTAATCTTTCCAGTTGCCAGACAGCTACAGCGCCCCCTGGAGGCTCGTGTTCTCCACACAGCTGCATGGGGAGAGCTTCACCAGGATGGTGGCCGGCCTGATAAAGTGTGGGCCCACCGTACTGCTGATCAAAGACTCAAAGGGACACGTTTTTGGGGGCTTCGCTTCTCATGCCTGGGAGATCAGGCCTCAGTTCCAGGGTGAGAGAAGGGACCCACTCTGTCTGATCCCACAGCACTTACATGTTGTCTGACTTACTGACCGTAGCCATAATGAATGCCATCTCTCGTTTCAGCTGCCCTCAACAGTTTCACAGAGAGCATGTGTTCACTGTTTCATATTAGCAAGTGCTACACAGTTTGTAGTAAAGCCTGACTGATGCAGGATGCCGATTTCGGTATTGGAGGGTTGAAAAGATTTGATGACTGATATCAGCCGATATAGATGTTTAACAGAAACCCATAAAAAAGATTTTCGATTTCATCCCTTACATTTAATTATGTCATCTACTTTCAGTGGCATTTACCTTGAGCACACATACATTTCTAGTGTTTTTCTGCTGCACTAATGAGCCCTTTAATATTAACATTTCTGAGTGTGAAATGTGATGGTCAGAAATTAGTTAAGGAGAGTAGTGTTAATTCAGAAAAGGTACTGTGCTTCATGTTTACTGTTTTGAGACAAACTGCAGGTGTCATATCTTTGGTGAAAGTCAGTCTTTCCATTGCACCCACTATAACCATAGTGACATGCAAGTCAAGCATATATTTACAATCATATGTACAAGAATGACTATAACACTATGTGTCAACAGCTCATTAACTCTCATTGCCTGACTTGTTAGTTAGCTTCGTGGCTAATGAATTTAGCAACAGACTAACTGTAAGAATGTGTTTTACAGTGGCTGTTAGAGCTAAATTATAGGGCCGTTCATTTACTCACTAAAATAGTCTTACTGATTATTTCACGAATAAATGTAAAATCAAGTTCTTTGTTTGGTGCGGTTCAAGTAATGTATTACTCCTCAAAATAAGCACCATATCATGAAGAGACAGATCTACAAACTCAGATCGACAGTGGTGACCTTAGCTCACAGGGATTAGCGTGTTGCTGTAGTAGCAGTGCTCCAGTCGACAACACAGGTAATAAAAAAGCTCAAGCACCTTCCTATTTATCTGCAATCAGCTGAAAATCAGCCCAGCGATGTATTGGTTGGGTTCTAGTTTGAAGTGTTTGAAAAACTGTGCAAGGTACTGAATATAACTGCATCTCAATAAACAATTAAATTATTGAAAATGAATTATTGGTATGACTGATAACATCCACGAGGATGACCTTCCCTTAACATAAACTATGGTTGTGCAATACCTAATCAGTGATACCTTATACTTGAGAGTTAGCATAGCATATTAGCAACTAAAAGTGAGCCTTTATACTTTTGATTAATGGATCCTGCTAAAAATGGAGAAATATGTTTGTCTGACTGTCTGTGCTTTGATTTTCTTAATAACTGCTCATCCGATCAACCTCAAACTTGGCAGGTGTGTTGCTGTGCTGTGTGTGGAAGTGCAGTGGTGTTGACTATGTAGCAGTTGTCGAGACTCTAATCCTAACTGCTATCCTCCATAAATAGAGCCCATTGCTCCTATCAGGCTCCTGACAGGCACATTTTGAACAGGCACTGCACTACGACTAGTCTAACTAATTATTACTCCGTCTTTTGGTGACCTGAAGGTCAACAAAGTTAAAGATAAAACTTAAGTGTATTTTAAGGATCATAGAAAAGCTGATAGCACTTACTATGTCTCCTATGTTCTAAGTTCTATTAAGATGACAGAATTTCCAGATTTTCCACATCTCTGTAATTTCTCCATCGTGGGACATCACTAAAACTGATCTTCATACAAGTGGCATCATTATAAGACATAAAACCTGAGCCTCAGTTATTAAGATTTGCAGATTAATTAAAATTGAACAACACTTTATGAGACTGTTGATTCTGTAGTACTGATTAAAGAACAGAGACGATTATACCACATGATAACAAAAGCTTGACGGAGTCTATAATTCAGTAGTAGAAACTGTACTATCATGTTGGTGTGGACCAGAACCCAGATCAAGACTAGCACTGATAAAGTGACTCATTGAGGAAGTAATACTACTTGTTTGAATACTGTGGGTTGTCACTTGACTTTTCTCTCAGATCTTCATAATTTGTATATTTGTGTATGTGTGTGCAGGTGACTCCAGATGCTTCCTGTTCACTGTGTTCCCCAGACTGAGAGTTTACACAGCAACAGGATACAACCAACACTTCATGTATCTCAACCAGAATCAGCAGACCATGCCCAACGGACTGGTGAGACCACAGTTAAACAGAGGAGAACTTTAAGGGCTTGCATCAGTACATAGGAGGTTTCTGACTTAAGGGACAAAACGTCTTTATTAAAAACTGCATATTGGTCACCCAGTGTCTCCAAGCTTTCCTGTTATGGATGCAGCCTAATAGCCATTGAGCAAACAGGGTACTGTTTGGACATGTGGTGAGGTAGAAATATTTCATAAAAATTTGCTCTGATCAGAGTTTCCGTAGAAATATTTCATAAAAATTTGCTCTGATCAGAGTTTCCAACAGCAGTAGGAAGCTGTAACCCACTCTACACTGCCTCCCCAGCACCAAACATCTAGCATGTGGAATGGTCCCATTTTAATTTAAGTTGAATTTCACAAAATATTGGTATCAGCTCAAAAATAAGGAAAAATAAGAATTACGTTCGCACTCTGATTAGTTTCAGGTTCATCCCTGTTTATCCAGAGTCATATAAAATATGAACCATTTGTGTGAAATTTTGTCATAATTGCTGTGAAGTCTTGAGTGATTCGTACAAAGTGTTTTGTGTTCATCTTTGAGTTCAAATGGACATTTGTGCCAAATTTGAATGGATTCCCTTGAAGAGTTCTTGAGAGATCACGTTCACAAGGCCAAAACTGCGTTTTCGTGAGGTCACCGTGACGTTGACCTTTGACCTTTGACCTTTGACCTTTCACCACCAAATTCTAATGAGTTCATCGATGAGTCCAAGTGAATGTTTGTGCCAAGTTTCATCAAGGCGTTACTGAGATATCGTGTCCACGAGGATGGGATGGACAGACAACCTGAAAACGATATGCCTCTGGCTGTCGCCGGCGTGAAGGCATACAAAAAGTAAAAAACATGAATTGTTAATTCCTAAAAGAGAATGAAGTTTCTGCTTTTTGACTTTAATGGTACATAATTTTTGCTGGGATTACATATTTGTCTTCATTCTGTCTGTGTGTCTTGGTGTTGATGTTTTCCGCTCTTCATCAGGGCATGGGCGGTCAGCATGGCTACTTCGGCCTGTGGCTGGACTGTGATTTTGGCCGTGGTCATAGCCGCGCACGGCCCAAGTGCACCACCTACGGCAGCCCTCAGCTCTCTGGAGAAGACGAGTTCACCCTGGACTCAGTGGAAGTGTGGGCAGTCGGAAAACCCCCAGAACCAGATGAGGTCAGAGATCTTTTTTAAATGTACTGTATTTATTTCATAATATACACTGTAGATGCAGAGAGGAAATGCAACATGTCAAGCAAGATCTCCAGGTTAAACATTCAGCAACGAGGATGCCCCTATCTACTTCATTTATTATTTAGCCTGCAAATGTCAAGGAAGAACCATTCAGTTCTCCAAGGACATCTTAAATAGTTCTGCATTTGAGCACTAGTGAAAACTACTGTTGAAGAGTTGAGTCGGAAATACAACTTGTCCCCCACATAAATGCATATTCAGCAGAATTACAAGAAACTCCCCAACCATGTACCACAAATGGAGAACCTCATTTACATCCCAGCTTTTTTTTACATTATACAGCTGTTTCCTTGAGAATATGAAGAATAAAAACCCATGCTATTTCTGTATGTCTCTTTGCTTTGTGGCACAGGGCGAGGAGGGGGAGGGCAAGAAGAGTATCCTGGATGTAGATCCAGAGGTCCAGGCCATGATGGAGATGGCAGGGAAGACTCTGCACAGTCAGGGCCTCAGGGAGCCAGAGGAAGACCAAGATCAGTGAGGGGCAACGGGAAGATGGACCAAAGGTTTAGGCTCCCGGTTCACCTAGTATTGACACGTGGTGGGATGTTTATTATCCGAAGTAGCTGGATAACATTTACATCTGAGACCTGCTGCAGGACACACAGTGATAACAGACTTCTCTTTTCCTGCCTTTCATTCTCCTTGGATCCACGTCACAATAAATCATCATCCTCCTCGTGTGGCCGCTTATAGGTCTGTAAAGTCTGTCCCTGTCACACACAACTACAGTAACATCCACCACTGTGCGGGCCTCAAGTGTGAAAGTGTGATGGGTGTGTTCGCACTTCATTCTACCAAGCTGCACTGGTGTTTGCCAAAAGAAATTCTTTTTTGGGCTTTTTTTTTTTTTAATGCCTTTATTCGATAGTACAGTAGAGAGACAGGAAATGGGGAGGCAGAGAGAGAGGGGGAATGACATGCAGCTAAGGGCTGCCCGATGCAGGACTCAAACCGGGGGCAACTGCAGCGAGGACTGTAGCCTCTACACATGGGGCGCCTGCTTATATCACTACGCCACACGACGCCCAGAAATTCTTTTTTAATGAATAGTGGAAGCTGCCTCAGTGGACCAGAATGCATTGCACCCGCGTCACTTAACTGAAGTATTAGGCTGAGAAAAGTGAGCACAACAAAACATTAAATTACACCATTAATGCTCATAACATAACTAATTTTAAGAAAAATATAACTGTGAATTTTTGTGTGACAAATTATTTAATTTCCACACCATTGAAAAACCTTTATCTTTCAGAGGCATAATCTGATGTGAGCCTGTAAATCATTCCCTATCTAACCGTGTCAACTTCTGAGCAATTACATTTATGTGTGAACGTGTGGTTAATGACAAGATTCTTTGTGGTGAGCATCTTTATATTGAGAGATATGACATGTTTTGGGAATTTCTCAATTATAAGGGGAGATTCACTGACTGTCACACTGACTGTGTTTCAAAGATGGTAAATACTTGGCACTGACAACTGTGGGGAAACTTCATGTGCACAAGAGAAAAAACTTCCTCTAACCACCTATTTCACAGACTGGATGCATCTCTGGGTTTTTTTTAAATGTTTTATTATGATTATTATTATTTTTATTTATTTTTGCTTTTTCAGCTCAGAGTCTATGGCTTGTCCACCCTCATCATGATTTATGATGGGATTTAGTATAATAGACCTGTACTGTCTAGCAAATTATTATTACGTTGCATTAAGTTGTTAATGATTTTTATCAAACACAATTTAGACTGAAGAACTGCAATCAAAATTAATAGAATATACTGCTGTGTTTGAAGTTAAAGGATGATATTCTGTGTGTATGTATGTGTGTGTGTGTGTGTGTGTGTGTGTGTGTGTGTGTGTGTGTGTGTGTGTGTGTGTGTGTGTGCAGTGTTACCCTGTAAAGTTACTTTTATTAAAGTTAGAGGGCGTCTGGAGGGTGTACCTACTTTCACTTGTGTTTTTCACTTTAGTGAGGTGATTTGCTCACTTGGTTTGTCTTCATTGGATAGCATCAGGCTTTGCCAGACAGGCTGTAAACTGTTGCCATAAATATAAACGACAAGATCTTGACTTCGACTTCTTGGCATCGCTAATTGTACTAATACAAACACCTGCTCAGAGGCTGAAAGGTAACTCTGTTTTCACCCCCCTCCTGCTCTTCTGTTCTGCTATCATGCAAATTTCTGAGGCAAGTTACACATGCAAATCTGTTATATAATCTTACAGCAATCCACACAGTGGCATGATGGACATGGTTCCATAAAGAATGTTTATACTCATCTTTTTATTTGTGTATGGAAATGATTTTATTATTTTATTCCCAGAGATGTGACGATACTCTGAGCCTCAGGATCACCTCATTATATGCTCTTCATTACTTTTACCCCCCCTCCATCTAGATAAAATGCTGTTTATAGCAACTGTGCACACGTATATTGTATGGATGATCACCCACTATCCCTTAATATATCAGTCAGTCAATTAAGCCTTACCTGTTTAGCACCTGTCATACAGGTTAGGGCTGTTCAAAGTTCTTTACAGGCCGCTGACAAGCAAATGAGAAGAGCAGAAATACTGTAAGCAGTAAAACAATGGAAGACCACTAAACAGACGTTATGCATTACACAGTGTATGTATTCCTACATTTGCAATTTATTTATTATATAAATATATTTCAGAAGTTCCAGTGATGGAGCTTTACTCCACTCTGTGGTATTTGATACGCTGATTCTTATTGACATCGATATTCATTCTTATTTAATATTTAACAAAACCTTTCTCAACCTTTTCACAACAGAGACCCCAAACATTTTTGTTATCAGATTCTAAATTCCTAAAAAATCTTTTGTGTTGTGATTCTATAAAATTCAGAAATATCAAATTGTTGTTTTATTTGAATAATTTTAAGAGTTCTGAAGATGTAAGTCATCCAGTAATTTACAAGACAAAGGCAGGCATTAGAGGAAACAGGAAATAACATGCTGCTACTGCTACATATTCAAAATTATTTCCTTTAACAAGATTTTTTTTACCCAAATGCCCCTAAAAAATTTGATGTTTGTTTCATATTGAACAACATAACTTTCTAGCAAATACATAATAGACAGTGATGGAATGTAAGCACTGTGATTAAGTACATATATGAAGTACTATCTAACATTACAATTAGTTACTTCAATATTCCCATGTTCACTTTATTCCAGAGTGAGATATTATCGAACAGGTATCTTGTTACTTAGCAGATGTAGATTTTACATATGCATTATTATTATTGATTAAATTGCCCAGTAGTGTATGGTACAATAAGTAAAAGTAGCAGCTACATCATTAAGATTCTTTGTGGATGTTAATACACCAATGACAATATTTCAATAATATAATGTGTACTGATGTAAATCCTAAAGGAGCTATTCTTTTACTTTTGATGCATTTCTACTGAAGTGTAGGGTCTGAATATTCCTTCCACCACTTATACCTGAGCAGATAAGAATAACAACATATCCTTCCCTCTTTCTTTTCTTTCCCTTTTATTATTTGATACATAACTGGGATCATTTCAAGTGAATGAAATACTTTAGGACCTTCTGGACCAGCTTAATGGACACCCAGGAGTCCTCATACCCCACTTTGAGAACCACCTGTGAAACAGTAGCTGATGGATTGTGTCTGAACTGGCGTCCTCAGCATCACAGACAGTGGACTGTGGACATGTTTCCTCATACAGTAAAAGGCTGTAAAGCTCGGCCCTACACTTTATTTTGAAAAAGATACCATATTCATTTTCATTCTGACGGGTCAAAGTGGCAGCTCTTATACCCTTCCGTCCGATGCCACTTGCATAGTGTAGTTTGCATAGATACCGTGCTTGCTTCCGGCCTTTTTTTTTTTTTTTTTTTTTAAACTTGAGGGCTATGCCTATAATGCAAGTTAACTTTTACTTCCTTGTACACACAGATAGAGGAACTGACCGTTTTGCGGCTGGCCTTTTTGTCAACACTCTACATCCTCTCCGGCTTCATTTCATAACTTTCAAACCATGATTAGATAGAAAACAAGAGGTAACTTTGTGGAGCTGAAAAGAATCGAACTCACTTGTAAGGTAAGGTCTTTTACTTTATTAAAGTCTTTTTTTTTTTCGTACGTTTTTAAACTGCCCGTGTGGTGTCAGGGTTTAGTAAGAAGCGAGAGGGGAAATCCGCCTGTTACTGGCAGCAGCCTATCTCCTGGGCTGCAGATGATGTGTCTGACCGGGCTTGATGCAGCTCACAGCATGGAGTCAGTCAGTCCTCTGCACCGTCTACACCGGGTGTAGTTACACACACTGCAGCCTGTGTGCTGCTTACACACACATATACTATACTTACACCCGTTCGCGTTTAGCGTTATTATGAACCGCGTTACTGGATCATCGTGATGGTTGTTGTGTGGAGTAAACATCTGAAAGCTTGTAGTTAAATAAGGAAAAAAGGGATTATCAGAAGAAGCAGCAGAGCCAAGTGTAGTGCGGTGACACATGCATGTAGTTTTCGCGCAGTCTTGTGAATATATGCAGCGTAATAAGGAAACCGTCTGACCATATAGGGTCTGTTTTAATGTATAATAAAATGTTACAGTTGTTTTCCATGCACTCATAGGAAAATGGTCCTTCTGGCCCAACATATGCCTCGGGTCCTGGGCCCGAGTCTGGCCCATATTACTTCCACATCTGGGCAGATTCCGGCTGTTATCCACTGGTATTGGCTGACAGCCGGAAGCTTTTCTGCGTGTGCGTCAGAATTGGGCCACATGTGGAAGTAGCATCTCACTATCATGCTGTATATGGGCCAGTTTCGGGCCGTGGGACCGGGTGTACTCTGGGCCAGAAGAAAAGGAGCTGGGTTTATTTTGCTATGGCATTGCAGGACTGCTATGAATCCTATTACAACCATCGTGAAGTTTATCATGTTCAGTTATTGTTGAAACACTTTCACAGAGGTGTTGATTCAGCTGTATACTTTGAGGCTGTTGCTTTGCCGCTTAACTAATTTGTCTTACATTGAGATGACAAAATGTTTGGGGACGCTTGACATGTCTCTGGGACGTAGAGCTGTCAAGAACTGTTTTAAAGATGTTGTAAGATCAGCCCAGAGCTAGCCTCTACTGTGCTATGTGGTATCTCTAACAAAACAAGGAAACCTGAATGTATAAATTGTCTAAAACTTAAGCATTTCTAAATGTTTTCATGTCATTAACAAACAATGATACATGTAAGGCCCAGATTGGATCAGTATGTCTACAAACTCCTACCTCCGTGGGAGGTAGAGCAGCTCATCCCATTGGCTGAATTCAACAGCAATCAGTGGGACCAGTCAAGACTCATAGGTTTACTGACTAACATAGTGTAGAGCCCACGCATCTGTGGACTGCGAACACAGCTGTCTGTGATCATTTCTATTTGTGTCATTAGGTCTTTTGTTGAAATTAGCTTGTGTGGCATTAGTCTGCAGCAAAGTGTTTGGTGCTACTGGAGGAGTAGGACCTCTGCTTGAATCTTGCAAGTGAGTGTAGATTAGTTTAGAATTAAGTTAGAATTCTGTTAAAGGTGCATTGATCAGTTTTTGTCCATTAGGAGGCACAAATACAAAAGAGACTTCAAACACAACAGCCCTGACATGTTTATCACCTTATAATTTTGTCATGATTATGTCATGGTTATGACACATCCAGCAAGAACACACCAAAAATGAAGCAATATTATATCGTGTGTCTCTCCATCTGATGAGTTTAAGTCCAATATTCTCTCTTCTTTTAGCTACGTTTTGGTCTTTACCAACATCTGAGAAAAAGCATCTGGTTCTTCAGCATTTTCTTCACTTGCTAGTTTTTAACTTTGCCATTTGAAGCTCGGCAGGTAGTGATTTTTTTTTGTTGTTTTTTTTTTTTAGCTGAAAGCAGTGTTGATTAGAGCACAAAATAAATGTGCTGCAAAAGCAAAAAGAAAGTTTACAATTAACCCCTTTCACATAACACATGTGCAAACTCTTTGTGCACTTGCTGGACTTCAGTCTGGTTTAATTTAACCCCTGACAATTTTTCTGCCTCTGTTACATTTGTTATTTCATCTAGTGCAAATCAGTGCAGTTTTGTCCTGGTGATAGTGCCATTTATCATCCAATGCAACTTGAAAAAAAAAAATCCATGAAATTTGATCTTATTTAGTTTCAGCAGGGAGTTTGTAGGTGCGAGTATTTGTGTGTATGTAAATGCTTGATGTATTTGGGTCACTGTTACAGTGTGTATCTAAGCACTGTCACTAAAAGTAGATGGTAGATTATCACATCCTCGTTCCATATATAGTAAACACCAGTTTTCTTGAAGCGGGTGTTTGTGCACATATGACATGAACGTACATGGTTCTATTGGCACAGTATTTGTGTTATGTATTGCTGCTGCATCAGTATGAGGAAATTTGTTAGTCTAAATAAAGCTGCAGTAATCCCAATAGGGACATTCCCCTCACAGGGTTAAAGGTTTCAGCAGGGAAAGCAGGGGTATAGTTATGTAATGCTTCAGTTAATCATTAACTTCAGAGCACCAAAGAATTCTTTATTGTTTTTATATTTCAGGTTTCCCAATATAAATGCATTATTGTTAATGAAAGCAGACAGTGGATATTTACTCAAAAAACATATGCTCACATTTCTTCTTCATCTTGAGATAGATATATGCAGTCATTTTTGGATTTCTTTTTTTATAATGATAAGAAATAAGCTTTTTTCTTCCACACAGTGCATTTTGTAAATATTCTCATCCCTTCCATTTTTTTTCCCCGCATTTTGTTATTCTGCAGTCTTAAAAATGTTTTTCCTCATCAATCTACACTCTATCAACCATAATGACAACGTGAAAACAGAGCTTTTTTTTAATTAAAGGTTCTTCATATGATATTCACCGCCACTAGCTGTTGCACTTTTCCAACAGCGTGTACGACCAAGACTAACGCTTTGTTGGCCACAACTCCCCCCCCCCTCCCTTCTTGTTCTCAGCAAGGTGTTATGAAGCCCAGTGAAAGCGGCCACTAAACACACACAAGAGAAACACAACTGAATAAAGTTACCCTGTTGCAATCCAGCCGCAGCCATTAGCCCACGCTAACATTGCCGGGACATGCTCCACAGCAAAGGTGGCATTAAGCCGACTAGCGAGATCAACATTTACCGAGCAAATTCATAACATGGTTAGGTAAGTTAGGTAATGTTATCATGCCCACTGTAGCCGGTCACTAATGAAAACAGAGATGTAACATTATGTAGCCATCAAATTACTTTTAATTAGCAGAAAAGCCAGAAAAAAAACAGTTCTGAGGTTTTACGGCCCAACACTTTAATATTGGTTTTTAACAGACCAGGGAATCTGGTTTCTCTCAGTCTTCTGGGTGATCTTTCACTGAGGAGAGGCTTCAGTCTGGCCTCTCTGCCATAAAGGCCAGATCTGTGGAAGTTTCTCCATCTCCACACAGGAGCTCTAGAGCTCAGCCAGAGTGACCATCAGAGTCTTGTTCACCTCTCTTACCAAGGCCCTTCTCTGATGTCTCAGTTTGTCCGAGCA